TACAAGCGCCATGCTCTACCAATTGAGCTACAGATTTCACTGTCTGTCTTCAGTTATTTGTAATTCATTATGTTTATTTGAACAGGGACAATGCACAACAAAACATACGTCTCAGAAGTGAGAAGTGATGCGTTGACAAACGATCGGCTGTCGTGGGCTGCTCACCTCACCGCTCTCATTCTGTCTTGCTTCAGCAGGTTGGATCAGAAGCAGCTAAATCTTCAGGAAGCTTCAAAATTGCAAAGGAAATGGGGAGCGATGGGGGTTTTCCTGGCCACTGTGCCCTGCTTAATGAGGCCACTTTGTTTATAAAAAAGCCCCCCCCCCAAAAAAAAGTTAATGAATCCATACCGGAGAATAATAATTCATAATAGATCAATACTATATTTCCGCCCTGGTCACATGCTTCATCTGTCAACTGTCACATAGACGTAGAGTCTGGTCTGCTTGTTAGAGGCAAGGGACTGTTCTGAATGGGCATAATAAACATCCCTTTTAGTTGGAATATTACCCAATAATCTCTTATCAGGCACATCACATCATGTCAGAATTATGGACACGGATTCCACTGTTCAACTGTTGAAACACATCATAACATAAACATATAGGTATTGATGACTGTATCTGCTCAGTTCATCTCCCTTTAGAATCTTAGAATTAGTACATTTGAATGCAGTCATTGACCACGTCCCAAATGGCACCCCTATTCCCTCTTTAGTGCACTACTTTTTTACCAGGTTCCAGCTCAAAAAGTAGTGCACTAAATAGTGAATAGGGTGCCATTTGGGGCACAAACAATGTACTCTCTGTCTGTTGATGTGCTTTTCCATAAATGTCGCCTAAGCGTTGCTAAAAGTAATCAGTTGTTAAACTTAAAAACTGCAGGAATTTTTGACAGATGCAAGTCATGGTGTGTGTGGAGGATTGCGACCAAGTGTACGTCCCAAATGGCACCCTATTCCCTACATAGTGCACTACTTTTGACCAGAGCCCTATGAGCCTTGGGCAACAGTAGTGCACTATAAAGGGAATAGGGTGTCATTTGACACACTGGCTAAGTTTGACCTACTTGATGGCATTCTAGCCCAGGAAAACAAGATGGGTGGAATGCATCCACCACTACTAGAAGTAGGGCAGGACACTGTCTAAAAGCTTATAGGAAAAATCTGTGGAATTCTTTGCTGCTATTTTTGATTCCGTCATGAAAGGTGTGACTATCCTGCTAAAGCTCAACATAAAATCACCTGCAATAGCGTAGAGAGAATGAATTAATGAATTGTAGTTTAATTTAACAGGGAATTGCATCAATCAGAGATGAATCATATGGATATATCTATATAAGGGATATGATGAGCTTTTGTTTCCTCACACGTTGTGTTCAAATAGAAATCCTCCCCAGCAATCCTCCACAGCAGTGCTATCAGACACCATCAAGGTCCTTCACTAGCGCTCTGTACTGAACAGGAAATGCAGTGTGTGCCAAATGGAGAGGGTTTAGCTTGTGTTGAAGGTTATGACTGAAAAGGACACACCTTCGTCTCAACAAGGGGCGGGAGGGCACCAACCACCCAGAAGTCCCATCACATGGGTTGTGTGTTCCAATTGGCACCCTATTCCCTGTGTTGTGCACTACTTTTGACCTGAGTCCTATGGGCCTTGGTAAAAGTAGTGCACTAGGGAATAGTGTGCCATTTTGGGATGCAAGCATGCCGTGGGCAAACAGAGACCTTCCTTCTGTAATGGGGTGACAGGAATAACAGTAGTAGCCGCGTCCAGCAGCAGGATCCCGCACGGTGAAGGGCATCACGGTGTCTGAATGATGTCACGGCCCCTGTGAATGTGGCGGTAACATGATGCGGAGCGCCTGCACGGGATTATCATCTCTGCCAGCAGGGCTTCTTCTGTCCACAATGGTGGCTCTGCAGTGCTCCCCCCTAGCTTCCCCTGGCCTGAGGGCCCCCCTGTTCATAGCTGTAACGGGGAAACTTAAGATCACTAAAGATTATATTTTAGATGTATTGTGATCGATTCAATGTGTAGCATATTTACAGTCTGTGTACCCTGCATGACTGAATGGATTGTATGACGGGACTGAATAGCTTCACCTCCTTTCCCAGCTTCAGAAAACCTGCAGTATGTCCAGGATGCATGGCTGTCTATTCTGTGCTATAATCTCAACCCTTTAATAACTTGTCTATTCTGTGATATAATCTCAACCCTTTCATAATTTGTCTATTCTGTGATATAATCTCAAACCCCATCTGCTGATGGGGAATAGGGTGCCATTTGAGATGCATCCGTGTTTATCTGTAACATTGCATTGGACAACATCATGAATATAGTCAGGTCAGAGGTGAGGGGTCACCATGAATATAGTCAGGACAGAGGTGAGAGATTAAAACCTATGGAATGTTGGCTGTGAAAAGTACAGCAACTCAACTGAAGTGGATCTCCCTTGTTGCAGTTCTGGAGAAATCCCTCATCCAAATATTGGGTTAGCCCCCGGTATAATATCTGAACTGGACCCAGACAGGAAACCTGAAAAATGTGGTTCCTTATATGTTTTCCAAATCCAAATGGTACCCTATTGCCTAAATAGTGCACTACTTTTGTCCAGCGCCTTATGGGCCCTGGTCAAAAGTAGTGCACTATAATGGAAATAGGGTGCCATTTGGGACAAACACCTTAATAACGACATCCAGTGACAGCACACTTGGTTTAAGGCCTAATGCTCAGACTACAATCTACAGAGAGCGTAAGGTACTCCATAGCAGCAGCTAACAATGACTTTATTTTCAACCAAAAGGTCATAAGAACAATGCAAAACAAGAAGAGGCTCTGCTGCCATCTAGCGGTCTGTCTCTGTAATGGCAGTAGTAATCGCCATATCATTACACTATTTCAAGGTATTCTTCAGCGCTTTGAGCAATCAGACTATAACGGCGTGACAGTCTTAAAATATATGTTAACAAATAAATTGCAGGAAAGTGTTGGTCATATCACGTAGACAACGGCTAGACATCTGTCAAGTCATCTTAGTCCCTATGGTTTTAGTGATGAAATGAAATAGTGGACATCCAGCCACGATTGAGCGTGTATATAGAAAGGCTGCATTTACAAAAGCAGCCCAATTCTGATCTTTTGCCAATAAAGTGGTCTTTTGACCAATCAAATCAGATCTTTTGCCAATAATTGGGCAAAAGATCAGAATTAGGCTGTGTGTAAATGCAGCCAAATGTGTGCACTTGTTCACTTCCCTTCTTCAAAGAGAGTTTCCATCCTCTCTACCTTTTCATGGATTTGAAAGGGAATGACTACATGGAAACTCCCTCTAGCCCATGGGGTGCCAACTCCCTCTAGCCCATGGGGTGCCAACCAACTCCCTCTAGCCCATGGGGTGCCAACCAACTCCCTCTAGCCCATGGGGTGCCAACCAACTCCCTCTAGCCCATGGGGTGCCAACCAACTCCCTCTAGCCCATGGGGTGCCAACTCCCTCTAGCCCATGGGGTGCCAACCAACTCCCTCTAGCCCATGGGGTGCCAACCAACTCCCTCTAGCCCATGGGGTGCCAACCAACTCCCTCTAGCCCATGGGGTGCCAACCAACTCCCTCTAGCCCATGGGGTGCCAACTCCCTCTAGCCCATGGGGTGCCAACCAACTCCCTCTAGCCCATGGGGGTGCCAACCAACTCCCTCTAGCCCATGGGGTGCCAAACCAACTCCCTCTAGCCCATGGGGGTGCCAACCAACTCCCTCTAGCCCATGGGGTGCCAACCAACTCCCTCTAGCCCATGGGGTGCCAACCAACTCCCTCTAGCCCATGGGGTGCCAACCAACTCCCTCTAGCCCATGGGGTGCCAACCAACTCCCTCTAGCCCATGGGTGCCAACTCCCTCTAGCCCATGGGGTGCCAACCAACTCCCTCTAGCCCATGGGGTGCCAACCAACTCCCTCTAGCCCATGGGGTGCCAACCAACTCCCTCTAGCCCATGGGGTGCCAACCAACTCCCTCTAGCCCATGGGGTGTCCAACTCCCTCTAGCCCATGGGGTGCCAACCAACTCCCTCTAGCCCATGGGGTGCCAACTCCTTCTAGCCCATGGGGTGTCAAACATACGGGTGGTTTGAGAAAAATAAACTTTCAAAATGAATAAATGCGAATCGAAACTGTGTATAACCCGTTAAATCCGGAGCGGTTGTTTTGGGCCCTGTCTGTGTCTTATTTTAAAAAAATAAACTAGATAACTTGAAACGCCTGATTGCTTGGGTCATTTAAAGATGTCGGGCTTGAAAATCGCCAAGAGACGTCATGGGATCTAATACTGCAATCTAGTGGATGAACTGGGAATCAGACAGGATATATTTACATCAATGGGTAGGTCGAGACTTCAGCGTTCTCCTCATATGTATATCAAGGCATGGCACAAGCCCTGCACTTTTAAAATGGCCGTGTTCCTATGGGAATTTGCACGTTTACAGTGCCACCATTTGGTAAACGATCTGAAAAAATATTTTCTTTATTTTTCAGCAGACGCTCTTATCCAGAGCGATTTACAGGAGCAATTGACATTTTTCATCTAGGGGCACATCAACATTTTTCACCTAGTTCGCTCGGGGATTCGAACCAGCGACCTTTCAGTTACCGGCCCAACGCTCTTAACCACCCTTCCGTTCTTCACTGTCTCCACACATATGCTTCCCTATGTACCTACCACTCCAACTTTACTTGTTTCTATCTGTCTACCACCCACGCATTGTCTATCCATTCTACAGCCTCTTCTCCCGTATCCCTCAACCCCTGCCTGCTGTCCCAGCTACACCTCTGTAGAAGCGGGCAACAAAAGATCGGGTCCCTCTCTTCTAGAATGTGCAGAAAACTGTTCCTCTCCTCCTCACTCCATGACTCAAACCATTTGGGTCCAGAGGCGCAGTTGGCACTCAAATATATTTGGTGGGCTGTCCTTAACCTGTAGCGTATTGAGCGACTCGAGGAGGGTACATGCTTTCCCTGGCACAGCTTTCCCCAACAGGTCCTGCAGAAACCGTTCCCTCTGGGGCAGTGGCCCCAGCTCAGGAACCAGCTCAATACACAACGCGGCTCCTGAAGAGTTATGTAGGAGAGTGGCAGGGGCTCTCTGCCTGCCTGCTGAGTTCAGATAGGTACAAGATAGGTTCTCCAAGCTGGGAGGCACTAAACCCTGTGGTGCTGACGGAAAGTCTGTCTGGCTGGGGGGAAGACGAACTGGACAGCGTGCAGAGCCAACCCTGCCCAGCAGTGTTAGCTGTATCCAGTGTGTTGCTACTGATGCTGGGTGGGTGTGTGTTGCTGGACAGGGTGCCAGCTGCTGGGGGCATCATGCCAGGGGGCTGCTGGTTTGAGCCTTGATTGACATGGAAGAACCAGGACATCAGTCACGTTCTTCTTATTTTCAACATGTTGCAACCTCCAACTGAGTGTAGTTTTGTAACAGTAATTGGTGACATATTTTATTTCAAACCTAGACTTTCAAATCTCTTATTCCCCAACATGGGGACATTTGGGGGACCCCTGTACGTTTTTTTTTGGGGGTTCGATCATGTATTATGACATTTTAGGTCACATGGCGAGTACAACAGTACTAAGCAGTGTAGCTACTTAACCAAATGTACTTTAGTTTTAATCAAATAGCATGTTAAGAGAATGCCACAAAAAAGGCGTTGAGAAAAGAGAGAGAATTAAATGACAATGGGCCTATTATACGTTTGGGTTCTTCCAGCAGTCAATGCCGAAGAAAAATAATTAGCGCGTCAATTTCATTGTTAGTAAGTGACTGATAACTTGAAACACGAATGCGCCCCGGTGCATCTATAATATTTGTTTACGTTTATTAAATCCAGTGGTAGCCATGATAGAAGAAATTCTACTTATGGGCCTTTGCCCAAACAAATCATTGCTTTAGATTTGGGACGTACGCTGACGTGCGTAGAAGAAACAGTCACTTCCGGGGGGAAGTATTTGAATTTGAGGTGCCTTCTTAACCCTGCTCTTAGTAGTCACATTCGTAGGTTAAATACCACCACGTGTTTGACATAACTTTACCGATCGTTTGTGTGAGTCAATATTATCAATTTCTGACGATGGACAAAAATGGGAGCAGTCTTAGAGTTTTTGGTCCTGCATTATACGTTTGATGAAAGGCAGCGACTAATCCTCGCAGAAATAATAAAAATTCAGCGCCGCCCTCCAGACTCTTTCTTATTATGCCTCAGTGTCCGGACCTCATTGAAGACCGAATGCGCTCCCCGGGTGGCATCTTTATATTTATATTTTATTTAACCTTTATTTAACCAGGAAAGTCAGTTAAAAGAAGAACATTCTTATTTACAATGATGGCCTAGCCCATACCAACACCAATCCAATGCTTTTACATTTGTGGGGAGTAGTGAAGGAAACAAGTCCACACTTCAGGAGGAAGTTATTGTGAGGTGTACAGGTGTATAAACCTCCCCCGCGCGGGAATATGCCACCAGCCAATCGTTTCGCACATACGATTGACTCCCTCCCGTTTGTGATTGGTCAAGGATTTACACAATTCTCTCCGACGATTGGACGAAAAAATGGGGAGCTCCTATTCGTTTTTCCGGCTTGTGTGTTGTTGAAAAGAGAAGACGAATGCCTGGGAAAGAAATTTACTCTACGAATACGGTATTTTAGCATGTCTTTTTGTGCGAATGTATAGTCAAAGCTTTGTCGAAAAAAAGCTTCCCCCAACTTACTTGGGGATTCTAGAAATATTGTAAGAAGCTAAGTTGTTCACCCAATGTTTGTTTAGCGATAGCTTCAGCTAGCCAGCTATCCTTACCTAGCAATTTTGCAAGGTTAACCATCTGGATATGCGATCAAAACTAAACGTTAACGCTATGCATACGTTTTATTTGAGAGCGACTGTGGTCGCTGCCATCGGTTGTGATACTGTCAAAGCAGAAAGGCACATTCTTGAGAGCAGTGCCTATTCGGTGATTATCAAGTTACTCCTAACGGCTGTATAGTTAGCCAGGGTTTCATAGTAACTAGCTTACCAGAAGATACCGACCCTACCGTTACGCTCGTTTACGCTGAGCTGCACTGGGGTTGGAACGCAATCGTGGTGACATTAAGACACCAGGGAGCTGGCGCGAGATATGGGTCGGGAAACGTTGCTCAATACAGGAATGGGATATGCCACTGTACTCCAAATTGGACCTTTATCCACACTGCTCCATCTAGAAGATTGAAATACTGCTGGTTTTCCCGTAAAACTGCCCGCTAGCAGGAGCCACCGCAACCATTTTGGAATGGCAGTGGCAGCCAATCAGCTCCTTTGTTGTTCAACACAGCGCGCCATTCAATAATGGCAGCGGTGGCTACTGCAATCTAGCATGAAGACAAAGAGGGTGGTTTTCCAGGAAAACCAGCAGTGTTTCAATCATCTCGTGGATAAAGGTACAATTTGAGGTACAGTGGCGTATCCCATCCTAGCCCAAGATGTACTCTTAAGGAACCTAACGTTACCGTTGCTCCTTAAGGTCCAAGGACTGTATGTTATTTTCAGAGGTAGACTGGTTCTGGCAGCCAAAACAGCCAAATACTCCATCTAAACGTGAATCGATTCTCAATTGCGATACGGTTCTAGAAATGTAAAGCCCTTTACTTTCATATCACATCCAAATTATTTTCACAAATGCAAAATACACACTTACTGTACACTGTTTTAACCGGCTGTGTCACAGTTGCAGTCGACAGTATTTTTCAGTGACAACACATTTCTGGCGGCCTTCTTCCGTTACACACAGGTGTCAGAGCATGCTAGATAGCTAATTACCACAGGTGGTTCCTTCTTCCGTCTGTCTAACTAGCGAAAATCATAAGCTGCTAACACAACTTGCTAAGAAAATACAAACTAGCTGTTTGCAGATATAAGATGCACAAACTAATAGTGTAATTATAGAACGCTTGTGGATTTATATTAAGAAGCAAAGTGGAAACGGCATCGTAGTCATCAACACTGTTGCATTGACCATGCCAGACTGAACGCAAGTGTCTCGTGGTCAAGCGACAACAAATGCGCTCCTTGAGTGACAGGGGGTGGGGAAATCGGCATGGAGAGCGGAGAGAGATGACTCAAGTAGTGGAGTATAAAAAAATAAACTATAAAAATGGACATTACACACAGCGTATCACATTTTAACAAACCAAACATTAAAATGCTGTTATAGAAGGTAAAGTAAAAACACCAATCGGGTCCGTGCATCAATACCGTTATATAGTAACATACAGTACACCGCCCAGCCCTAACTGAGAGTCATGATCAAGGGCTAATCCCATCCCTGCATTGAGGTATGTTTTCCGACTATTATCTCACACCGGCAACTATTATTGCGTTCCAACCCCAGTGCAGCTCAGTGTAAACAAGCGTAATGGTAGGGTCGGTATCTTCTGGCGAAGTAACCAGCTATGTACCACCCCCCGTCTTTTTTTCATTCTGTTTGAATTTCCCCAAATTGCTTGGAACATTTCATTGATCGCAGACGGAGCGATGATATGTAAAAAAGGCTTCAGCTTACACTCATTTCCGTTGCACACAAAGGGTAGCTGAGCTCTGTGTGAATGAAAGACGGGATACTGAGTTTAGTGAGACTTGGCTAGAGCCGCTAGAATGGGCTTTTTCTCAATTCATCTTTACTTGATTCAAGGGCTATGACGGTCATGACATTTGCGTTGACTGTCGTGGATTCCTCACAACCTCTCCCCCCTTCTCCTCACAACCTCTCCCCCCTTCTCCTCACAACCTCTCCCCCCCTTCTCCTCACAACCTCTCCCCCCTTCTCAAAAGCCATTGAGGGGAGGGACCTTGGACCTTATCCGTCAATACATTTGACGAGATAAGGGAAAAAATGAATTGAGAAAGAGGCGTGATTTCTTTAAAAAAAAATATATATATATATATATATAATGGTTGTTCTATCCTCTTCCCTTCTAGGATAGTGAAAGATGAGTTCTCAGCCATTTTCTAGACCTGGAATGCCTGCTCAGACTAATCCTGGTGGAAAACCGGTCTCTGCCAATCAGTCATCCAACCAGCCAGGTGAACATTAATATTGAATAATGCGTGTTCCTAATGGCGTCCTATTCCATATATCAGGGGTTCTCAAACTTTTTTGGGCCGTGGGAAGAAACATTTTAAAGGCCCGCCTCTTGTCATCGGAGATTACATTTTGCAGTTTTCAAGCAAATTTCCTGCAATTCTACTCATTTTTCCATGAGGCAGAGACAACTTTGTGATTTTAAAGCTTAAATTACAGTACTGTGGATACCAATATCCCTGTGAGCCTCCCAGGTCCATGTTGCCCGGGGTTAAAAACACAAATTGTAAAAAATAAATAAAAAAAGGGCACTCCTCTTTTCCCATTTGCACTGACTTTGTTGTTAAATACTTTGAGGGAAAATGTACTTCATACGATAGCTAGGTGAGACAATCACATATCACAATCTTAAGATGAATGCACTAACTAACTAAGTCGCTCTGGATAAGCGCGTCTGCTAAATGGCTAGAATGTAATGTAAATTAATAATGTTACATTGTATGGTATTACATCCTCTGAACTTATTCTATGGATTCCTTGGCCAGAATTAATGTAATCTGTTAATATTCAGTGTATATATATATATATATATATATATATATATATATATATATATATATAGTACCAGTCAAAAGTTTGGACACACTTACTCATTCAAGGGTTTTTCTTTATTTTAATTTTTTTACTATTTTCAACATTGTAGAATAATAGTGAAGACATCAAAACTATGAAATAACACATATGGAATCATGTAGTAACCAAAAAAGGGTTGAGTCATTGTCCTGTTGAAAAACAAATGATAGTCCCACTAAGCCCAAACCAGATGGGATGGCGTATCGCTGCAGAATGCTGGTTAAGTGTGCCTTGAATTTTAAATAAATCACAGATAGCATCACCAGCAAAGCACACTCACACCATAACACCTCCTCCTCCATGCTTTATGATGGGAACTACACACCAATTCTCACAAAGACACAGCGGTTGGAACCAAAAATCGCCAATTTGGACTCCAGACCAAAGGACACATTTCCACCGGTTTAATGTTCATTGCTCGTGTTTCTTGGCCCAAGCAGGTCTTCTTCTTCTTATTGGTGGCCTTTAGTAGTGTTTTTTTTTGCAGCAATTCGACCACGAAGGCCTGATTCACGCAGTCTCCTCTGAACAGTTGATGTTGAGATGTCTGTTACTTGAACTCTGTGAAGCATTTATTTGGGCTGCAATTTCTGGTAACTCTAATGAACTTATCATCTGCAGCAGAGGTAACTCTGGATCTTCCATTCCTGT